AAAACCACAGCTGGATTGCTAATGGCTGCAAACAAAGACTTACCGCACAGAGAGAGGCAAGATGGAGAGAAAGACTGTGAAACCAAGAGTATGCGGAGAACAAGATGGATGAGATTCTGCTTCTGCAACAGCCCAATCTGGAACAGCAGTAGCCAATACAAAACATCTTGGCAAAACATTGTTTTGCTGCCCTATAATGCAGTCTGCATTTCCCCCCAGTTTCCAAAGTGCCATTTCATTTTATTGGCATCTGCTTTGTACTTATTACCTTTTCCTAAAACACTAGCTTTAACTTTTTTCAAACACTATTTGCTACTCTCTTGCTGGGCTGTTGCTTTCCTCAACGTCAGCATATCTGACACGAACTCTCTGGTCCTCTGCAAGAACCCAGGTGCTCTAGAGTTCAGTTGAGCCAAACTATTTTTATTAATTTTAAAGAAAATCAGACCCTACACTGCTGATAGTCCTCTAAAATGTAATAAAGAAATAAACTGTTATAATGGATTTAACAACTAATCCAGAAAAGTCTGCCAGAGTTATTTCAAGAGTAGAAACATGTGCCAGGTTTTCAGTTACTTAGCAGAAGGAAATATTTCTCCTTTTGTGATACCAGGCTGAGTGGGCCTCACATCATCTCCTTCAGAAAACCTTTGGCTAATCCATGGATTTAGAACTCATGAAAACACCATCCTAAACAGAAATCCAGCTTAATCTATTTTGGACGTAGGAAGAAATTTTAAAATCTACCTTCCAAAAAAAGTACAATGGAAAAATATTTTCTTAAATTGTATTTTTGTTATTGTCTGGTTTCTGCCATACCTGTATGCAGAAATTTCTCCGCAGTTTGGTGGTGCTTGCTGGCTGCACGCTACCCAATTCCGCAGGCTGTAGCACTTCCTCTGCCCAGGTGACTGGGATCATGTTGCCCTCCAGTGGCTAAACTGGAAAACGGGGAAAAAAGCCTACTGCAGTAATTTTTTTCTGTCTTCGAAATGCATACAAAGAAGTCTACGTATCGTGAAAGTGCAATGGCAAATACCAAGAAGTTACATCATGTCAATTTTTAATATATTCATGTAAAATTAATCCCTCCTTTCCCGTTCCTCATAGGTATGCGATCTGAAGCACTCTTCAACCACAGGACTTCATGCTATTCTTCCTCTGGCATCCCAGGCTTACACAAGGGGCCATGTGGAAGCATTCAATGAGAAGCCAATCCAGCATTTTGTTTTGCCCTTGTATTTCAAAGAGTGGCCAAAACCCATTTGCACAGATTGAGCAAAGCAATCTCTTAATAATACATACCACTCTAACATGCAAGTACTTCACATACTTTCATTTTTTGCAAGAGCATGTGACATAAATGCCAATAAACTTATGTACAGCAACAAAGGCACAAGGATTTTAAAAGCTACAAATGTCTATGCAGTCTCAGTGCCCCTCTGAGATGCCTTACAGCTGATTTTCTCAGAACATTTAGCATAAAAAAGGCATTTTCTGTGTTGAAAGTGAAGCTTCTTTCATGAACACCTGTAAGGGCTCAGCACATAGGCAGATCTGATTTATCTCAAACTGTGGGTTAAGAAAATGTGACTCACGCCATTATTGCGCATAAAGAACTGTATGGGAAGAACTGTTTTACATGCACAGGATGGACTGGAGAGGAGAGTTGGTTTTTTCGGATTTTCTTAGTTCAGCTCTTTTGCTCTATATCTTCCAATTTTTGTAACAAATGAGGCAAGGGTATTATGACTCCTTTAGTGAACGGCCAGCCCTAAGATTATCCCCATATGTATTGAAAGAGACTGTAGCATAGCGGGACAAAGAAGTACCTGCTCCTGTAGTTGAACCTGTATCATAATATACAGACATAAAGTACTTAGATAGGTTATCAGGAGTAGTCAGCAAGGATTCACCAAGGGGAAATCATGCCTGACCAATCTGATAGCTTTCTACGATGACATGACTGGCTGGGTAGACGAAGGGAGAGCCGTAGATGTTGTCTACCTGGACTTCAGCAAGGCTTTCGACACAGTCTCCCATGATATCCTCCTAGGGAAGCTGAGGAAGTGTGGGCTGGATGAGTGGTCGGTGAAGTGGATAGAGAACTGGCTGAATGGCAGAACTCAGAGGGTTGTCATCAGCGGCGCTGGGTCTAGTTGGAGGCTGGTAACAAGTGGTGTCCCTCAGGGGTCAGTGCTGGGCCCAGTCTTGTTTAGCTTCTTCATCCACAACCTGGATGAAGAGTTAGAATGTACCCTCAGCAAGTTTGCTGACGACACCAAACTGGGAGGTGTGGTAGATACACCAGAAGGCTGTGCTGCCATTCAGCGTGACCTGGATAGGCTGGAAAGCTGGGCAGAGAGGAACCTGATGAGGTTCAACAAGGGCAAGTGCAGGGTCCTGCACCTGGGGAGGAACAACCTCATGCACCAGTACAGGCTTGGGGTGGACCTGCTGGAGAGCAGAGAGGGACCTGGGTGTCCTGGTGGACGACAGGTTAACCATGAGCCAGCAGTGTGCCCTGGCTGCCAAGAAAGCCAATGGGATCCTGGGGTGCATCAAGAAGAGTGTGGCCAGCAGGACAAGGGAGGTTCTCCTTCCCCTCTACACTACCCTGGTGAGGCCTCATCTGGAGTACTGTGTCCAGTTCTGGGCTCCCCAGTTCAAGAAGGATGAAGAGCTACTGGAGAGAGTCCAGCGGAGGGCTACAAGGATGGTGAGGGGACTGGAGCATCTCCACTACGAGGAGAGGTTGAGGGAACTGGGCTTGTTCAGCCTGAAGAAGAGAAGGCTGCGAGGGGACCTTATAAATGCCTACAAATATCTGAAGGGTGGGTGTCAGGAGGATGGGGCCAAGCTCTTTTCAGTGGTGCCCAGCGACAGGACAAGGGGCAATGGGCACAAACTGAGGCACAGGAAGTTCCGTCTGAACATGAGGAAGAACTTCTTCCCTCTGAGGGTGACGGAGCACTGGAACAGGCTGCCCAGGGAGGTTGTGGAGTCTCCTTCTCTGGAGATATTCAAGACCCGCCTGGACAAGGTCCTGTGCAGCCTGCTGTAGGTGACCCTGCTTCGGCAGGGGGGTTGGACTAGATGACCCACAGAGGTCCCTTCCAACCCCTACTATTCTGTGATTCTGTGATAAGATTGTAAGAGAAGCTATAATGTTAGAATTTCCTCACCTTTTGGAGCTGGACTTTCACAACTTCAATATCCTCTTTGCTTCTTAAAGAAAAATACATTAAAGAAATAAAATTTCATTATATAGACTCCTCCTGACAGCTACATGGGTTTTGGCTGGGCTGAAACCTTTGGACTCACAGCATATGCTTCTGCCTTTTGAGCTAGTTAAATAATTGACAGCTGCGGAAGACTGCTAATTTACAAAGGTCACCTGCAATCAGGCAGCAACATAATTAACACTAGCAGGAACAAGTAGTTCAAGATAAAATAGGAAAAGTTAGAGTGTGCTTAAATAGTGGAGGTGTTTTCAAATCAGCTGAGCCAGGTGAATTTCATGTAAAGCAGATATAAAACTGGCTAAAACAATCTCAGGAACAAGAATGATTTTCATTGAAAAGATGGGTGATATTACAAATATAACAGCTACTTTAAAAAGAGATAAGAGAGTGCAAAAATATCAGAGAGTTATAGACTACTTCTACTCCAGTTATTGGAAACCAGCATAACAAATAATCAAACCATTTATAGGTGTTCAGAACGTAATAAGGAAAAGGAAAAATGGGTTTTTTTTTTTTAAAGAACAAATGGTGTCAAGTCAATCCCCACCCCTTTTTTTTGTGAGAGAAAAACAGGCTTTTTAGATAGAAATTATTTATCTTGATTTTAATAAGGCTTTGATGCTGTTTTGAACGACATTCTCATAAGCAGGCTAGGGAGCTGTTACGTATTTTGATGCAAAGCAGCTGTATCTAGTGGTTACTCCCAGGGGCAGCTACTTCAGGCTGAGCACTGTTCCTTCATGACTTGGCTTAAAACACAGTATGCTTATGAAATTTGGAAATGACACCAAACCGAGAGGGGTGGCGAGCACAATGGCTGAGAAGATTAAAACTAAAAAACTATTGTTGCAAATTTTATAAATGGTCTGAAAGAAGAAAAATAGGATGCAACTTATCCTATTAGGCAGATGTGCTGTTCTGTTCATTGGGAATAACGAACACCAAGTAGAAGAACTACTGGATGGGCAGCAATTCTGCAGGACAGTACATGTATGCTACAGAAGAGGGTAATTCTCAGTGTGATTCCGTGATAGTGTGAAAAAGGTAAACACCGCATGGGGAAAGGGGACCGTAAACAGAGTTTGTCGTGACTTCATGCTTTCCTCTCCGTGGCACTTAGTAAGGCCTCTGCTGGTGTATTACAGCCAGTGCGAAGTTTCTCCTCTGCCTGAGAAATGAGCTGGAGAAGAGAAATGGAGAGGTCACAGGGAAAGAGGAGGCTGTAAATTCAGCAGCCGGGGTGGGGGCAGCGAGGAGGAAAAGCAACAGTGATGCTGTCTTTTGGAAGAGGAACCATGAACATGGGGCCTCAGAGTCTCTCACCTCCGTGCAGAACGATTTGTAGAGCCGTTTCTGAAGTATTCGCTGTCTCCTCTGCGGTGGGGTGGGACTAGGAGTTGTGGATGTGCTGCTCTGAAGTCATTTGCGTATCCGCTGCGGTCCACCCATTTGCCACAGTTCGGGAGCCTCTTGTAACTTGTTACCTCTTCTTACTATGTTTTTCTTCTGTGTTTTCAGGCAAGATTGGATGGTGTGGTATAATCCTTCTTATTTAGCTTTCTGATTTTCCTAGCACAATAATTTCCTTATGTTTCTTATTAGACTCATTTCGTGCCACTTCATGAACTAAACCGAAGATGGACTGAGCAGGCAGACCAGCAGATGCGAACTGTTAAATCCCCAGAAAGATTTCTCTTTTTTTTAACTTTATTAAAGGCACAGTTTTGTAAGGTGCCAAGGGTTCATGAGTCATCGATGGCCAGAGGACAAGCCCTGTCGACTTACAGCTGATCTTCAAAGTCAAATTTTGCTTTGGAGAGTGAAACCAATGTTTGAGATCTTTTCCCTGCAGGTGTGTTCCAGAGAAGCAAGTAAGCAAAGACAGTGTGTTAGGCTTGTGTCTCTTGGGAGGACCATCAGGAATCACTAAACAGACATCATAAATACTACTGTTCGTCTGCACCACAGTTTTGGCATGTGCTTACAAGCAGGTGTTTCAAAAGATCTCTTGGGAGACAACAACTGTGTGTACCTCATGAAGCCCAATGCAGGAAGATGCTAACAGATGTGTTTCTAAGCTCTGGTTTGCTTTGGGTGCCAATTTCCTGCCTACTTCATCTTTCTGCTTGCTGCCAAGCTTGTACTGGTAGAAGTACAACGCTGATTGGTGTCACAGTGTCCTTGCCCTGCTTCGTTTATCTCTGTAGGAAACTCAGTTCATAATTCCTCAGTTTGCAGCTAGTGCCTACTTCGATGTATGAACCCAGGCAAAGAAGAGGTAATGATTGCAAAGTTAATTCTTCTGTGGTAAGTGCTGCTTCATGTATCTATTTCAATAAAACTATTAGGCTAGATCCCAGATGGCTATGGTATTGCTCTTTCCACCAGGCATTTATCCAGAGTTTTACCCTGTGGGCAACTGCTCCAAGGGGAAGAAAGGCCAAGTAATCTTTCTGCTTTTACATCGAAGATGCTCACGTTTGCTCAGAGCTGCCAGAAGCAGCTGGGTCCCAGCTGCAACTCTCGGGATAATACATTCCTTCTTGTAACAAAACAGGGAAGCCATTTTCCTTGCTGCCTTGTAAAGGCATTGAGTGAAGTGAAACACAAGGCAGGCCGCTCATTGCTACTTCCCAAGAGCGTGCTCATTTAATCCAGGCTTAGTTTTCTGGGGGGAAGAAAAGTAACCAAAAAATGAGTAAGCAGAGCAATGAGTGAGAACATCACTGGGACTGAGGTTTGACTGACTTTGTTGCAAATGAGATTACAGCTGATCACTCTGGATGCCGAGTCCTTGGAGACATCACGTATTTATTATTTATACCCAGAGACTGACATTCAGTAAAATGGAAATGGCCAATTAATCACAAGCATCTTTTGGCAAGCGTTTACAAGCAAAGATCTTCAAATCTTAATCCAGGCTAACAAAGCCCCTGTGCCCCCAGATGGAGTTCATTAGTCAGATCTGATGAATACGTACAAGGGAGCTCTGTGCAGACTTGTAAAGGAAAAGGAAATAGGGATTAAAGTTTGTTTCAGAAATGATTAGCCAGTCTTCCTTTGAATGGTGGAAATAGCTCTGAGCAAATTTGGCAGCATGAAGGTGCAATGGGGGAATGTCTGGGTTTATTGTTTGTGTATTTTTCCAAATTATAAGATCCCATTTATGCCAGACTGAGAGCTAATGGATAGGAAGATCACAGATGGAGTTTCATGGTTACATGTGTCTTTAGTTTTACTCAGACTTTGCAAGGGAACAGGGTGCTGTACCTGGGCCAGGCACTTCCTGCAAAGCAGAGGTTCCTAGTTTGTACCGAAATTAGGTTTTTCTGGGTAATGCTTACAATTACTGCTCTAGCTAAAAGAGTTTGGACAAAAGACTGGGATTCAGTGTTTGTGTCAAATGCAGGATTCAGAGAGGAGTATGAAGGGTTTTGTCCCAATATTCTGTGCCAGCAGTCAGGGCTGCAGTTTTACTTCCCAAGCCTGGCATAAAAATAAAATGTTCTTCATCGAGTATGATGCCTTGCAAAATCCTTTTCTGCTGGTGCATGAAAAGCCATTGCTGATGAAGCTGATCAATTCTTGTTTCTCTGCTCTTCCCGTTTGTGTGTGCGTTTGTGCACATTTCTTGTCTTATGCCTGCACTGCAAGCTACGTCAGAAATCGGTTGGGGTGAGGGCTTGGCTGATTGCTAGCCCAAGGGGGGGCTTTTGGTCTGTGCTGAGCACTCCTAGGGACTGAGATAACACCAGGAACAATAATAATAATAATAATAAGCAGACTTGATTTCCTTGGCTGATTACTCTGAAATCTCCTTAGAGACATTCAGGAAGACAATGCATGTCTTTCTTACAGTTGCCGACTGGTTTTTTTTCTCTACAGGATTCCCATAAAATGTTTGTCACATTGCCAAGCTGCTCTGTTCATTTGATATGCGAAGTGCTTTGAAGAGAGAATCCCTCAATTATGAATATTCCCAAAGCATGACGATGGAGTAATGAGGGAAAGGGGATTTTTGTCTTCAGACATCACTCAATACAAGAAGGAAACGCCTGTGTTTGCACGGTCAGTCTTCTGGTACAAGGTTCTTGAAGTGTTGGTGTGAGAGTCACTCTTTTGTAGCTATACTAATATCACTGCTTTGCAATGTTTAGAGAATAATTATAGATAATAATGTGATTTTTGACATACACTGAGAATAGAAAGAACGCTGGTAATGATACTCTCACAGGATACAAGGAAGGTAACGCAGAACAAGAAGCACTCAATATACGTGATGAAATGCTTGCCATTCGCTGTACATCTCTGCTGATGATTTAATATCCAGCAGGTGCCAAAATGTACATGACATAGGACCTATTACACCTGAACTTTTTAAAATCAGTAGGCTTCAGTTTCATCGAACAGCCTGGATGTGATTTGTTTCAGAAATTCTCTGCTGTTAATGCTGGGAGAAAGCCAGCGTTGTGCCAAGGTTTAATTAAATAATCCTGCCCCGCTGGTGATCCATGGGCAGAATGTGACTCACCAGATGCTTCCATCCAGCCCAAAGCCTGTCCTGGTGGCTGCTCCCTCAGCAGGTGGGGCCGCTGGGACTCCCGGGAGGAGCAGAGCCCTGGGCGCGGGGGCCCTGCGGGTGCTCCCAGGCAGGAGGGCCTCTGCGGCCTAGAGACTTGCCCTGCCGCCGCCTCTCTTCGGCGACCCCAGGCCACCCAGACCGGGCTCGGCCTTGGCCACGCCACGC